GATATTTCTATGGATATTTTCACCTTATATGCAGTTATTAACTACTGATTTAAAAGAATATTTTAAGGAAATATATTAAATTCCGTCACATAACTTAGAAGTTATTTAATGACTGCTATGTGATTTATTCCCAACTGTGGACAAACAGTTAATGGGAAAGACCAAATTGTTGTTTCATGCAACATTACAGAGTGCTTTAGCAAAACATGGAAACCATACATTAATTATATTACTTGCACATTTTCCTTCACTTGTCTGTCACATGCTCCGTGATTTTTTCAATTCTGTCCTTATTACAGTTGCTCTCTATTTGCATTTCTGTTCTCTTCAATCGAATCTTCTCAATCTTCTACTGACAATCATTCCACTTCTGATTTGTGTTACATACTACTTATGTAAGTCAACATAAGTAGTATACATCACACAACTACTCTACACACATATACAGTCTGGTTAAAATGTTAACTAAGTGATGCGGAAGCACTTAACCTCTGGACTATTGAGCTGAAATCCAATGACGTGACTGTCTAAATCCAATCAATTCTCAATATTTTGCGTTGGATAACTGGCTCACACGCGATATGAATAAAATCCACTAGTCACTAAGGTCAGATTAGATAAGCTTTTAGGTTGAACTAGGAAAATTCTACAATATACACAAAACTCTATGTTGACAGTCAAAATTAAGTAAATAAGTTAATCCGGTTATTGAATTCCCCATATTTATGATCTTGAAAGTATCCAGATCACACGAAACAAAACTATACAGCAATTACCTATAAAATAGTAATTCATATTGTTCTGAGCTGAATAGCACATTAATTAAACTCTAAATCATACAGTTACATAGATAGTTGCAAGTAACACTACCTAAGTTTGACTCGATAATTTCAAATACAGTGAATTGTTTGTAATAAAGGAATAATAATATAAATTCTGATGATTTAAGACTTGGTATAAGTGTCTTCTTCATAGAATAAATAATCTATTTCAAATTAACGCGAATTTAAATGATACGGATAAAGAAATTAAAAGTTAGTGTAATGATATATATATATATATATATATATATATATATATATATATATATATATATATATATATATATATTCTATATGATCATGTATATGGTACTGTTGGTAAAAGTATGTTATACAAATGAGCCTATCAGAGTTGAGGAAACGACATTTACGTTTTCTATCTAATTTCGAGAATATGTGATTTTTATATTATTTCACGTATGACGTGCAGTATAAATGCCTTAGTATGGTGTAACAATGTTTAAACATGAAAACTTACTTGTTACCATACAGTTGAAGTAACAGTGTTAGATATACCAAATGCCTAATTCTCGAAATGTACCATGTATATAACTTCCAAATCAACCTTACTCTTAAATCCTAACAGCTAACTCTTAATCCTGACCTAAAGCTTAGATCATGAACCCTAAATTTCTAACCCTAATCCCCTCCCAATCCATAACGCTACAAAGTTTTCTTGTATCATAGCTAATAATAATCACATTTAATCTTAAATCCTAACACTAATTTTTAATCCAGGAACAATTTATTTACTCCTAAAATTCGTTTTTCGACCTTATAAGAGTCTGAAAAGACGTGTTGTATACGAACAGATAGAAAAAGCTTGGAAAACTTCAACTGTCTCACTAAATATATGAAATCTGTCCAATCTATGTTGTACTATTATGTTTTTTTCATCATAAACTATTTGTTCACGAAAGGTGTTTTTTTGATTGACTGAAAACTGGCTAAAAAATTTCTTTTTTTGGTTGATGTTAGAAACTATCACCATTGGATGCCGGCTCAGTGGTCCACTTGGTTAAGCGTTCGCGCGCGAGACCGAAGGCCCTGGGTTCGAATCCCGCGGGGAGCGGGATCGTGGATGCACACTGCTGAGGAGTCCCACAGTGGGACGAAACGGCCGTTCAGTGCTTCCAGGTTTTCAATTGTGGTGGTCTAACATCAATCGGTTCATGATCTCAATCAAATACTTAATAATCTCCACAACCCCTATACTAGTAAAAAATTTGTCATGGTTATTATACCCTCGTCCATATGTTTTACCGTTTTTGCATTAGTTGCAAAATAAAGCGGAATGAAAAGTCCTTAGTTTAAAATTTAAGGAAAACAAACAACTTGACAGTTGTTCACTTTCAATACATTTTAATAACAGCGATATATTATTGTATGAAATAGATTTCTACTAAAATTCAGTCAAGAATATCAATGAACAAAAGAATATAAGTTCTTTTAATGTATGTGAATACTAATTTTCTATATGGTGTTCATTTCTAATACTTCTCTGTTATATCTGCATTTTCTTAAACCTGACTTGAAACACAAACAGTACTCATACTATTATTTAAGCCAGTTTGATAGAAAACACAATCATACATATACTGATTAATTTTTTGATACAGTAGGATAATAGACAATATGAGATATGTTATGTAACCTGGAAATTGCATAATATCCATTTGCATTAATATTAAATAATGGTTGAGGTTATTTTCCTATACGTCAAGTTTCAGACTACGCTTAAAAGTAATCTCAAGATAGAAAAAGTAAGTAAGAATGTAACTTAATAGATAGATGTGTCACTCAATTTTGTGGATTAGTTGAAGTTAGACATTAACACCATTGGATACCGGCTCGGTGGTCTAGTGGTTAAGTGCTCGCGCGAGAGACCAGTAGGTCCTGGGTTCGAATCTCGCAGGAGGCAAGGTCGTGGATGCGCACTTCTGAGGAGTCCCACAATAGGACGAAACGGCCATCCAGTGCTTTCAGGTTTTCCATGGTGGCCTAGCTTCAACTGATTCATGATCTTAACCATTTAAATTACTATGATGTCCACAAAACCCGTCTGAGATAGAATTTGATCAAAACTAAAATACGATTCGATATAAATGACATTAGTCACTTTTCAGTGATCAACCAATTCTAAACACATTATACTAAGTGATGAGTCCTAACCGAACATGTAACTTGAGTTCGATGATTGTTTGAACAAATCACTCTTCAATCGCAGAAACATATTTTATTTTCAAAAATGTTTTATCCTACTATAGAATTTAGACGTAAAAATACCGATTAAAAGAATATACTTCATAAATGATCAATATGAATAGAATTACATCGGTTAGTAACTTTTAGAAAAGTAACACTAACAATACTCTTAATAATATTTTCACTTTATAGACCATTAAAATTGCTTCTTTTGTTCTTATTAAAAAAAGGATTTACTCATTATCATGTGGTAACATTTTTGTCGAATTAAACATTCGAAATGTACAGATAATGAATCTGTCACTCGGCGATATAAACTATAAGTTTAACAATCTCAGCCAACCTTCCATACTGATAATAATCTTGTGTTAGCCAGTGACTAACATAGAGATGAATTCTCGAAATTCTTCTGAAAAATGGCAAAACATGAAATTCAGCCATGTTTGGTATAAGAATCAGCGATGGTAAGAGATTATGGATGTGCAGCATTGTAAATTGATTAATTTAATGAAGAATCTTAGAAAGCAGCAAGCTGATAACAATTTATAGTAAAATGAATTGAAGATAAACTGTTATAATATCTACAAACAAAATCTGATACAATTACAAAGAAATTCTTCCTAAAATGACGACGTAAACTGATTTACATCACTAAATATTTGGGTAAATTTTAAATCTTATTTGATAAAACAAAGCATTAAAAGGGTGTAGGAATGTCAATGTCGAAAGACTTAATTATTACGGTCAAAATCACTATCTACAAAAGAGTATTCCTCCATTGGTAAAAAAATATTCTATTACTATATGATCTAATTTGTTCGGTTAGACATTCAAATAAGTAAGCAAAATTTTCAACGAAACTGTTTGGCTAAAATTATCTAGTTATTCATATTAGATTCATGAATATCCAATCTATTCAACAAGGTCTTTGATGTTATGAATCAATGAATGAAATAAATACTATATATAAACTACTAAATAGTTGAGATTTACGTAAATCAAATGATAAAAATTTCCTCCGAAATCACAAGTGTCTGGGATCTGGTAAGAAAGGAAGTAACTCAGTACTAGTACGAAATCAACCGAAGAACCATTACTTAACCAAGATGCATTGAACAGCTGTCAAGTCAACTGAAAGCTTCTTAACAATCAATACATCCGAAACCTACAGATCTAGTTGTTGGCATGATAACTCAAAGCCATTGAAATCAAAATCCGATGATTCAAATCGATGACCATCTTCGAAACACTACTTTACAAAGCGCTTAGTTAAAGATTAGTGTTACTCTATTAAATTTGACTACTCATAATTAGTGTTCAGAATAAATATTTGAGATTATTTTGACATATTTTAAAGGTAAGAACCTGACTGTAATAAAATAACTACTCAGACTTAGACATCCAACTATCAGGTACTTAAGTCATAGTTCTAATTACCATAGGGAAAAGTTAACTAGAAAAAAGTGAATGAGTACCTGTAGTTGGAAAATCTGAAAGTTTATAAGAACTAGACAAAAATAGATGATATAGAAGGATAAAAACATACACGGTTACCGTTGTTATTTTCGGTTAAGAGGAAGACACAAAAAGTAAACTCATACGCTCTGCTGCCAGCGAATTTCAGTCGTATAGTATGATCACAGACATAGTTTATTGCGAACTCTAACTACGATTTCTACATGTTTTTATGCATTTTAAATCATCATTCAGCCTCTCCATGATCTAGTGTTATATATTTCTCTGACAATGCTTTATTATTTTCCGATTTAATTTCCCATTTGGTAACATAACACAGTGATTGTTAACTTGCCATTCGTGACTTGTGTACCTCTCAGTTCAATAGCTGTATACTTACAGCGTTAATGATCAATTTATTATCCTTATTTGGAAATAAAACACACCTCTAATCAATAAGATACATCTGAATAAATTCATTATATGTTTCTTAAAACAGTGATATCATTTTCGACTTACCGTATCTTCAGTTGTTTCGAAATCAAATGTTGTAGAAATATTCACTGATCTTGTAGCATTAATGAATGTATTTAAATCATCCTCTTTTATGGCATTAATTATTGGTCTTAAGTGTCCTTTTGCTAATGAATTATGACTTTGACTGATCATTATCCGGCTAAAAGAATGTAGTATAAGTTATTTGTTATGATAGGATAGATTATTGGTGTTTTCACAATCGGGTTTTATTAGGTAAAGATAATATATATATATGTATTTGTCCAAGTTTTATTTTATTGTAATATTAATTTAATGAAACCATATTATCTAACAAATAATGACTTATATGTATACATATAATATATATCCAGACTTCTGAATAACACAATGTGGATCTAAACTTCTAATTAAATGTACATCTTCATACACATCCATATATGTATGTGGTAATATTATAATTATGTTTGCATATATATGTGTCGTGTTTAAGATTCCAAAGTATCACGAGATCTGATTTTTTGATCAGGCTTTCACTCTATCATACCCAAACATACACAACAATAGCTACACCTATTAACTTATTTGTTCATTTGAACTAACACCAATATGTTCACATGTCCTGTCATCATCATTCGCCTACCCACGCAGTATTCAAGTAGTATATATATATAAATCATACTACTCTAATTAACCAATCTCACGTTTATTTTACTATTTACAATTTGATTTTATCACAGAAAAATTTAATTCTCTTTCTGTGTGCAGTAAATTGTTTTACAACATTAGTGCCAAAATTATTTATTTATTTGTTTTCAGATTAATGGCTATTTACATTAATAACTAGTAGTAATCATAAAAATAACAATGAACATCAGTGAGAAATAAATATTTACTAAGTTTTTCAGTTTGCTAATGCATTAAACTGATTGATTTTTGTGAGTAATTAAAACCATATGACCACCAAAAATGGAGTACATGATTTATGAAAGCATTAAGTTCACTTCTTCCGTTCAAACTGTAATCGTTATAATGTATTCTGGTATTTAAGCTAGTCAGTATACATATCAATTGTTGAGACTTTAATTAGTTTATAGGCACGCCGAAAAGCATGCACACTAAATGATCATGGAGTAATTACAAGTATCTAGTCATTAGTATTGATAGAAGTCTACCTATCAATGGGAAGTCTGACCACTTAATTGTATCACGGTTCACGTTTCTGATGTTAGGTAGTTGGAAGCAAATGTAATACTAAACTATATAATGTGTGAGCCTCATTTTTACGTAATCAATAAATTTGATGGATATTACTTGTTATATCCGAGCGAAGATTAAATCACGAGTAACTTCTGAGACATATTAATTGACTAATATTATCTATATATTCTTATGGTATAATTATTCAATAATTAGATTATGTATATGTATATTACTCTTATTATAAGCTTCATTTCGACCTATAATTTTTTATTGTACGATTTACTGTTCGTAAGCTATGTTAAGTTTATTGACTACTGCCTCCCACGTTCACAGCCACTTTTGGCTTTATTGTGTACAAATGTTATTTCCTATTTCATGGTGCGTTGCGGTTTGTTTGTTTGATATATAAACCCAATATATCTGAAATAAATGATTCGATTCGATTCGCATATTGGTGTTCTGGACTCAAGTGGACGTGCTAGGCGGACATAGGACCAAATAAAACGCTAGGCTGCTCATACCGGTCGAACGTCATTGGTCTGACACAGTGCTAAGATTGTATAAGTCGTATTTTGATTGGTGGATAAATCACGTGATAACTAGCCGGACATAAAGTCATAACATTACTAATTGAACCTTAGTTATTTCTACGTGGAGGACTAAGTTTATCATATTATTCGAGTAGGTGGTGAGTCTCAGTCCAAATATCTGGGTGATGACATCCCTAAATATATCAGTGTTTCCTCGAGATGATAAATATGTCCTACTGAGGAGTGATAATCAACATGAAACCTGGACTCATGGCTTACTGCTAATTAATTCAGTCATCTAACACGAAGACCAGGTACATTGGAACTATAAGCACTAAATTTCGATCACTCAGAGCGCAGAATAAAAGTAATACCTCGATTATGTATCATCCGCTGAATATCTTACCTGATATAATTGTAATGAGTGCTAATGTATTAAAATATATTACTTGAAAAGCTAAGCAGCTATTTCATCTGAGCCTTAAAATATCCTTCAGTCCATGATCAAAATCTTATTCGGTATCAGACGCACGATCTCAAGAACTGGGACACAAAAACTAGAGACTTCAATATATAACTAGATGTTTAATAGATGCATTACAAAATACATTAATTTAATGAGCTAATAATACACTGTGATTCTATAAATCGTATAAATGAAAACAAGGTTTGTTTTACGAAAATTAACTTTATCATTTCTTTTTGTTGGTAAACAACTTTAAATAACTATTGAAATAAATATGAACAAGTTATAAATTCATTTTGTGTTGTTTGTTTGAATCTTCCCATTGATGTTTATGACTGCAATTGATCAGTCATTTATTGGCACATGTGTATCCTGCACGGATCGCCTCGATATTGTCGTAAGCCACAAAGATGGATGGTGACAAGAAGTGAGATCCAGGACGCGTGTTTCGTCCTATTCAGAATTCGTCGGCTGGATATACCTGCAGCCCAAAGTTGATGTCCGACCCGGAACTCAAACCCAGTACCGTTCGCTTCAAGCGTCATTGCGTTATCCACTTAACTACTGACTCCTGGTAGCCACTAGCTTGTACAATTGAGTGAAGTTTAAATTCATTTTGTATTATTCGAATCTTCCCATTGAAGTCATTATTTTTGAATAGTTTTGGTTGGAAAACTATCGAAAACCAAGAGTCACCGGACAACTGGATTGTCCTCGTATAGAGAACCTCAACAGTGCACATTCACGAACCCACCATATATCGAACCTTGGACCCTCAGGTCTCATTATAACTTCTTAACCATTAGATTATTGAGCCGGGATCCATTTGTGTACTTAGTTAACATCACTTAATCCCTGATATTGCTCCACCAAATTCCATTGCCTGTGGTGGATAAACGTCTAACACTTAAAGTTATTTAAGCTGATTGTTCAAGCTCAGCGGAGATCTGAAGGACCTCGGTTCGATCCCTGGTGGGGTCGTGGATGTGAACTACTGAGGAGTTTTATAAATAGACAAAAATACAGTTGTCCAGTGCTTTCTGGCTTTCAATGGTCAGTGCGTGGTGTAAACCACGAAACTAGTTTTGACAGACTCCTTTAGTAAGTAGTTATTATTTTTAAAAGCAAACAGTAACACTTTAAAATATTTAAATGTGACGGATGAAACTGGGTAAAGTAAATACAAATAATGTTGATTATTTTTTGCCACTACGTAAAAACTGGTCTTTTTTCTCAGTAAAAGCAATTGGTAAATTGGTGATTGCAGTGGAAATGATTGAATAATTAACCACAATAAATAAAAGGTACAAATTGTTAATAGGTTGACAGGTGTACGTGTAGTGATAAGAATTAGGTCAAAACTTGTTGTTAAAATTGTTAAAATGATAACCATTGAAAATTACATAATGAGATGTGTGTGAATAATAGAATAAATTGAAAAATAAATAAGATGTACAGGATGATGTTAAATTTTTGCAGGATCATGGATGCGCACTTCTGAGGAGCTCCATAGTTCGTCTCGTGGTTCCAGGGTTTCAATGTTGATCTAACATTGATCACTTCATAATCTTAATTAAAACTCAACAATTTCCAAAACCTTATAGTAATAATCAAATCTGTTTATCCTTTTTAATCAATGCTATTTATTTGGTGAAAAATTCCCATTATACAATTGTGTTTCAATGCTATGTAATTGATTTTTGATTCAATATGTTATTATTTTGAACAATAATTTGAACATATAATCTTATCGTGAGTTAAAATCAACTGAAAGAAGAATTGGAAAATATTGAAACAATCAATAATTGTCTCAATAGAGTTTCTGAAGTTCTTTAGAAAATGCATTCCCCATAGTCTTGTATTCCAATCTAACTTCAAAAAAAATACCAAGTCACTGGTTGAACACAACGATTTTAAAATTTTGATTGATGTACTAATAGTATAGAATTTCAAGATAATAAATGAATTTTACATTAATTATTTTAACTACATTCAATAATTTAACGTAAGCAATAAGTCATGATAACATTTTTATCAGTGGGTATGTCTTAACAACAATAACAAAAAAAAAAAGATAATCGTTAGCTTATTACTTCATTTTGGCGAACTCATTAATAATTATAATGAGTAGGCGGTAAACTAAGTACGTTCAGATATTCTAAATTTTATGAAAAACTGTAGGCAACACTTTTTTTGTTTGTTTGAATGATATGAATAAAAGATACAACCGAATCAATAAATTCTGAAGTATGATTATATCTAATTATTCATTGTAGAGGCTCAAAAGTTTGATCTTTAAAACTTCAACAAATACAACGATTTTATTCGTTATCTAAATTTGGTGTTGAGTTAAGGATCTTTTTCAGCTACGGACATTGAATTTAAACTTGAGATTTTTTTGAAAAAATAATAGACAACAAGGTTTCTTTGTTTTTATAGTTCCTAATTGATGTGATGGAAGAAAAAGTCAATTTTCGATTGATTTACTCATTATGCGTTTTGTTCAAGATTAATTCCGTTTTGATTCAATGTAGTGATAACTCAATGTAGTATTTGTTTTTCTTTTCTCGTATGATATTTTATTCTGTATAATATGCGATATTCTTGTATTCCATTGACACGAATTATGCTCAGTATGTGATTTCTTATAACTCTAAGTATTTTTCATATGTGATTTCATCCTAATTATTGATTAAAATGTGTGTACAATCAATATATAAATGAGTATATTTCCTACTAGAATCGTCGGCGTCGTTGTCAACGTGTTTTGGGGTTAATAAATCTTCACTTATACCAGTCTTTGTGTTCTTACTTTTGCGTCGTGGGAATTGCAGAGGTCCCTGGTTCCAAGTATAAGTGATAAGTGTTTCCGACATAACAATCAGCGACGACCAGATACAAAAAGTAGCATTAAAACAGTCAAGACAATAAGCATTCAACCGACAAAGTTATAACACTAATTGAAAATCTTAATGAAATCAATGAAAAGCTTGATAATTATTACGATTATTTGAAAAAAATTTACACATACTGAACAATATTATAGTAATATAATAAAATAATAATTACGTTATGAGTCACATTACAAATACGAAGATTAAATTACAAGCCAGTTGATTAAAAATATCAGACGTATAACTAACAGACATTAAATATATCAAATTTAAAAGTGGTAGGCGTTAAACATTGAAATTTAATTGGTTTAACGAATTAGTTACTAAACCTGACAAGAAGTT